TAAAAAGAGGAAAATAGAAAGGTTTTGTAAACATTAACACGACAGAAATGAAAAGAAACCCCACAAACAAAATGAACTCAGTGCAGAAAATTTTATGGAATAAAGAGACCAGCAGCAACACAGAAAAACACAGCAAAATGGCAACAATCGATTCATACTTATAGATAATTAGACTGAATGTAAATGGATTAAATGTACCAGTCAAGAGACAGAGGGAGCAGAATGGGGAAGAAAACAGGACACTTCAATATACTGTCTACAAGAGACACAGTAAAAATACGGAGACAGCCTAAATGCCCCTCAACAGAAGAGTGGTTAAACAAACTTTGGTACATACACACAATGGAATACTGTGCAACAATGAAGAATAACTATGAATCTGCGAAACACCTCACAACATGGATGAACCTGGAGGACTTTGTGCTGAGTGAAATTAGTCAATCACAAAAGAACAAACATTGTATGAGACTAATGTAAAAAGTTAAGAAAAGGTTTTTTGTTTTTGTTTTTGTTTTGTAAAAGAAACAATCTCTGATGGGTACAGGGAGTATGGGAGGGAAAATTATTCTCAGGCTTGACAAGGAGTTCTGGTAGCATAGTGGGTACGAATCCGGCAACTAATCTCAAGGCCAGTAGTTCGAAACTACCTACTACTGTTCCTTGGGAGAGAGATGAGACTTTCTGTTTCCGTAAAGATTTACAGGCTGGAAACCCTATACAGAGTCACCACGAACTGGAACTGACTCATAGTGACCCTGTACAAGGTTTCCGAGGGTGTAAATCTTTATGGGAGCAGAAAGCCTCATCTTTCTCCATGGAACAGCTGATAGTTTCGATCCGCTGACCCTAAGGTTCGCAGCCCAATTCGTAACCACTACGCTAGACACATGTTAAATGGTTGACTGGGCAGACAATATTCAACAAGAGGGAGATTAGCAGAAGAAAGATGAAGGTAGCGGGAGACAGGGAGCAGTGCAAGAGTTAAAGTAGAGGGCAATACTGTTAACCATTGGTACATGGAGAGGATTATAATCATTATAATGAAGCAAAGTGTATGGTTTGTTGAATGTAAAACTGATGATCTGCTCTGTAAATCTTCACTCAATTTACAATAAAAAGTTTTAAAAGTAAACAAAACCTATTATTTGACTCTAAACTGGTTTTACTGTTGTTGTTAAGTGTCATTGAGTTGGTTTCAACTCATAGCAACCATATATAAGGCTTCTGAGGATCAGCTGGTGGGTTTGAACTTCTGACCTTGTGATCAGCAGTCTAGTGCTTATCCTACACCGCCACATTAGGGCCTTAAGCATGTGAGCATCTGGTAAATGACCCTGCAATTTCCACTCCATGAAATGGATACTCAGACTGAATTTTTTCCCCTTGAAATTTCTTTTGGAAGAAAAACTTAATAGAAGTGGGAAAACTTTTGAAAAACAAAATAAAAAACCAAACTCCTGCTGTGTCAGTATGACGCATAATGACCTTGTAGGATAGAGTAGAACTGTCCCATGGGGCTTCCTAGGCTGTAAGGTTAACAGAAGCAGATGGCCACATCATTCTCCCATGGAGCAGCTGGTGGGTTCGAACTACCAACCTTTGGTTAGCATCTGAGTGCTTTAACCACTGTATACCTGGGCTCTTTGAGTCTTTTCCAGATACCCCAATAATGTGAAAACATGAGTGACCCCTGAAGAATCAGTCACAAAGATGGAGGAAGAAGCGCTTCTAAATGTACTTCCCAGGAAGAAAAGGGCCCGCCTGTGTTCAATACAGTTTGAACTTTATATATATAAATAATTTGTAGTTGTTGTTGTTGTTAGGTGCCGTCAAGTTGGTTCTGACTCATAGTGACCTTATGCACAACAGAAAGACACACTGCACCAGCCATATCATTGGGGGTCTTCCTCTTTTGCACTAACCTTCCACATGACTCAGCGTGATGTCCTTCTCCAGGAACTGGTCCCTCCTGATAATATGTCTGAAATATGAGAGATAAAGTCTCCCCATCTTAACTTCCAAGGAGCATTCTTGTTGTACTTCCTACAACACAGATTTATTTGTTGTTCTGGCAGTCCATGGTACATTTTATATTCTTTTCCAACACCATAAATCAAATGCATCAATTCTACGGTCCTTGTAATGCACTGTCCAATTTTCGCTATGTATATGAGGTTATTGAATATACCATGGCTTGGGTTAGTCCTCATACTGACATCTTCGCCCTTGAGCACTTTAAAGAGGTTTTGTGCAGTAGATTTGCCTACTGCAATATGTCATTTGATTTCTTGACTGCTACTTCTTCCATGACTGTTGGTAGGTGGATCCAAGCAAAACGAAGTCTTTGACAACTTCAATCTTTTCTCCAGTTATCATGATGTTATTTATTGGTCCAGTAATGAGGACTTTTGTTTTCTTTACCTTGAGGATCCTGTATTACTCCGATAATCCAATAAGGTTGTTTCTGTTTTCAGTTCTTTAGATTGATCTACATGACCAACTTGATTGCTGTAAAAGAAAATCAACCAGAGCAAGTGATTTAAGATGTGAGTATGACTCTAGCCAAACAGCTGCCCAGTTTCTGGGGTTGATTTCCTGGGATAAAATTTCCTTTGTTTGAGATTCCAAAAGTTGAACAATGCTGTTTGTTCCTCTGATAGCCATAGCCACTGGTTCTCTCTCTTAACTACAGAGTACAAATCCAGCCTTTTGAATAGCGTTCAAAGTGATAAGTCTAACTCTCGGTTTGTAGTACATCAAAACAGCTTTAGTTTTTTAAAAAAATATTCTTATGTTCCAAATGCAATTATTTTGCTATATTTTATGTAATATATCACCTGCAATAAGAAAGAGAATTTTATAAAATAAACTCTCAGAGACTGGCAAGCTTGAAAAGAGTTGAAAATCATCACTCTGTATTCCACCACTATGGAATATCCTGCTTGAGAAAATGGGGCTGGAAATGGAAACTCTGGAATTAGATCTCGTCGCTTAGCCAGTGAACTAGCACTCACACAAGAAGTTGAGAGATGAAAACAGGATTGGAAGACCCAAAGTTGTTTTGAGCAACATACATAAAGGACAGTTTTTAAATTAAAGAAGCCTAAAATTTTAGAGTCCAGATTTGGCATTCTTTATTAATGTCAAAAGAAAATATAGCTTAGAGCAGTGGTTCTCAACTGGGGCTGATTTTACTTCCTGGAGGACGTTTGGTGATATCTGGAAACATTTTTGGTTGTCATACTTCAGGAGGGAGGGACTACCCCCACAACAAAGAATTATCCAACCCAAAAGTGAATAGGGCTGAGATTGAGAAATATCTTTTGGGATGTTAAGAATTAGCCTGATCTAAATCACCACAACAAAACACTCAACTAGAATAGTTTACATTGTTCCGTAGAATGCTTTTAAGGATTTTTTAATCTCAGACTTTAAATTAGATACTCAGTGTAATGGTTACATTGCAGAATGATACCCACTCCTCATCCCATCTCATCCCCAAAATCAGAAACACTATACATTTTTAAAATTACTTCTCAGTGTATTAATAACAAATCTTTTCTCTCCTTTCACTTTCCACAACCTCAGCTCTGGAAAAAGACTACAAGATGTTACATAATATTTGATTAGTGCATTGATTTTCTTAATAACTGTGAAACCATTTTACAGATATGCAGTCTCAGAGAGGCTAAATATCTTCTTCAACCATATGCCGTTTGGCACTGCAGGATAATGTGCTGGACCATAAGTTTGGTTTGAAGCGCATGATAAGCGGTTCAGACCCACCAGCCACTTGTCGGAAACCCTTCCCAGGGCTGCTGAGTCCGAACTGACTCCACAGCACTTAACAACAACAATAACAATAGGCAGAGAATTAGGACTGAAACCCCAGGAACTCTATCCCCAGACTTTGTGCTCTCCTCGCTGTGTGCCATGTCACCTTATTCTAGATTTTCAGCATTTGTATCCAACCTACAAAGACACACACACACAAAACAAACAGTGCTGGGCACATTATGTTGTTTATCTTTGTTAAGGAAACATTAGGAAATATGGGCAGTAACTTGACATAAGGAGGGCATTTTGGAACCAAAGAAAAAGCTTGGCAAAAGTTGAGACGGATTTCAGATCCTGATTTCACCAAGTCATCAAACCCTTAATCTTAAATTGGCCACCTGCTATAGATTCTTATGGAGATTGAGATGACATGTCTGGAAACCCATGAAGAATGTTTTAAAACCCATAATGGTGGATGTAAGTGCTTTTAAATTAACTTGGTTTATTTGCTTAAAATGTGATTGTGTGTGCAAGCCACTGGCAATATTGTTGATCATAATAGATTGTTTCTGGTCTGGGTTTTGAAGGCTTTGAGCTCGCCAATGAGAGGGACATTATAACTTCTTAGTAATTTTAGAACTTTACTTCAAAAATTGAAGCTTCTTATCTGGTTACGAATCGGGCTGCGAACTGCAAGGTCAGCAGTTCGAAAATACCAGCTGCTCCACGGGAAAAAGATGAGGCTTTCTGCTCCCGTAAAGATTTACAGCCTCAGAAACCCTATTCAGGGTCACTGAGTCGGAACCGACTCGACAGTACTTAACAACAACAACAACAATCTGTCAACTAAAACGAAGGCAGAGAGAGAAAGAATGTTTGTGATCTAAAGACAATTGCCAAAATAAGAAGGAAAAATACATTAGACTCAGCAATAAGAGCAGGGTAGCTAAGAGTCTTTAAGTACATGAGAAGCACACTATAATTAAAAGCAAAACGTGGGAAAATACATTTTAAGCCCTTACTTCCCTTTGGAACCAGATACCCTTCTTGCTAAGAACCTTTGTCATCCTAAGTGATTGAGCCTGTTGTGCCCGTTATTAGAAATTGAGAAGGAGCACCTTTGGGACAGGGTGAGATTTCTGTAGTAGGCGTTTCTTCCCTTATAAATGTTAACACACAGGCCAGTTGGTCTAATCTTGTGTGTGTTTGTTCTGTAAGCCACTTCAGGTCTGTGAGCAGAGCTACATCTACAACCAAAGCCTAGACCCACCACATCTTGGGGAGAGAATGGCCACTGTCTGGGGTGCAGCTTTCTTCATGCTGGTGGTATCCTGCGTTTGCAGCAATGTCTTCCACAGAGACCAGCAGACTTGGTTTGAGGGTGTCTTCTTGTCTTCCATGTGCCCCATCAATGTTAGTGCCAGCACCATGTATGGAATTATGTTTGATGCAGGGAGTACTGGAACTCGAATTCATGTTTACACTTTTGTGCAGAAAGCGCCAGGTGAGTGTAAATGGTAACCTCAACAGAGACTAAGCCCACTTGTTGGCATCTCCTCCCAGAGTGTGTGTGGCATGAATTACAGACTCTAAGGAGTCCTGGTGTGGTGCTATAGGATAAGCACTGGACTGCTAACCACAAGGTTGGCAGTTCAAACCCACCAGCCTCTCCTCAGAAAGCCCATGTAGGTTTGCTGTGAATCAGAACCTACTCAATGGCACTTAACAACCACATAGACAGTGAGTATCTTTCTTCAGATAATGCTTTAGACTATCACTGAATATTTGACTTATTTAATGTGAAATTAAGAAAGACCTGGACTGCCTGTGGTTCAAAACCCATATGTCAAACAAAGGATTGTAGTAACCTTTTATCTAAAGGTAGTCAATATTCCGGAAGTCCAGAATATTGAAGGTTGGATTCAGAGCTGGAGATGGTCTTAGGAGGAGGATCACATGAAAGTTTAATCATTCTTGGAGAAGAGGGTGAGGAGGGACCTTGAGGTCAAATAACTTTTTCTTAATGTTTAGTGTTCTTTCCTCAGGTTACATGTAGAGCCTGAGCAAAGAGTAGAAGCTAGAAGTCCACCAGAGAAATGGCAGAGGGACCCTCAAGGGTTGCCTGTGGCATTTTCTTCCTCCTCCTCCAATACTCTTGAACAAAACATTCCTCACAGATCAGATAGGTTGAAATAGCTTGGGGAATTAGCAGGGTAATCTACAAAATTATGTAACGCCTAAATCATGCAGCCTAGTATCAGAAGCAATCTAACTTTTTGTAATCAACCCTTTCTCTTACATTTTATGTTACTATAGGACAGCCTCCAATTCTGGAAGGGGAAATTTTTGATTCTGTGAAGCCAGGACTTTCTGCTTTTGTAGATCAACCGAAGCAGGTGAGTTTCTTATGATTAAACATTTAGATTCTCAATGCCTTGATAACTTTACCATGTTACTGCTGTTAGATATTTTATGTTGCTCACTGATATTGAGGCTGTGTATGTGAGATCAGCTTTCTGTCCTCAGCTAATCTCCTAGATCACAGTAATTCTATACCGCAGGTTCCCTAGGGCTTGGGAGGAAGGAGGCTAGAAAATAAATTGTGGTTATACAGGGCTAACACTATGTTTTTACTCTCTATGTATTTACTGTTTAAGATTTCAAGTTGAAGCCCTCAGCTGCATTGTTTAATATAGATACAGCAGATAAACATTCTGTAGAGTATGAGGTAATTGAGGGGCATAGACCCAATGAACTCCTTTCCATTGTGCCCAGATGCAGAGATAGTCCCTTGCCTATGCTCTGGAAATAGACAAGAACTCATGATGACAAAAACATTTGGCAGTAGAGGAGTAGAGTTTTGTGATAACCATATTTCACATGTGAGCACCCAAAACCTACTAGACTCCGTGTTAGAGACCACACTGAAATAAAGTGAAGTAAAGGCAGTAAGGACCTCTGCTAGTGTAGTGGTTACGAATCGGCCTGCGAACCTTAAGGTCAGCGGTTCGAAACTACCAGCCACTCCGTGGGAGAAAGATGAGGCTTTCTACTCCCGTAAAGATTTACACCCTCGGAAACCCTGTACAGGGTCGCTATGGGTCGGAACCGACTAGATGGCACTTAACAACAACAACAACAACAAAGGCAGTAAAGCCTTGAACTCTGTTAGCAGATGTAAAAGCATTGTTCAAAGTCACAAGCATCCCCATTACCACAAGAAAGCCTGACGTGAGAGCAGTTCTTTTCTCAGCTTAGTGTTATGTATTAGCGTGAAGTGCTATCTTAGTTCTCTAGCACTGCGCTAACAGAAGTGCCACAGTGGATGGCTTTACCAAACAGAAATTTATTTTTTTACAGTTCAGGAGGCTAGAAGTTTGAATTCAGGGTGCCGGCTCCAGGGGAAGGCTTTCTCTTTTTGTACCCCATGTCTGAAGGAAATTCCTTGTCTACAACTTCACCTTCTGCTTCCTGGTTCTTTGGGGATCTCCATGTGTATTCACATCTGTCCTACTCCATCTCTCCTATGCTGGTTTGTCAATCTCTTCTTGTATCTTAAAAGAGACTGACAGACTCAAGGTACACCAGAGACTGATAAGTACTGCATTAACATAACAAAGACAATTCATTCCCAAGAGATGATAACCAGGGCCTGTTGTTGTTAAGTGCCATTTTGTGCCTTGAGTGGATTCATAGTGACCATGTGCACAACAGAATGAAACACTGCCCAGGCCTGTGCCATATTGACAGTCTTTGATGTTTGAGCCCATTGTTGTAACCAATGTGCCAGTTCATCTCTCCTGGGGTCTTCCTCACTTTCAGTGACCCTCTACACAATGGTTAGGAATTACTACACAGTTTTGGGAGATAAAAGTCAATCCATAATAAATGATAAATGGACTAAAAATTGGGCATTGTTGAAAGCAGCTCTGCTTTCAGAAAGTGATTGGACATTTAAAGAAGGTTGTGATATGATTGCTAATAATAATGATGATGATTAAGAGACAGTATGTTATAATAGATGTTGCCTTAGGAAATAGTGGATTTAAAGTGACCTTTGTTTTCAATTTCTTATAAATTAAACTTCTACTATGTGCCATGCATGTAGACACTGATGATATAAAAATGAATCTAACATGTTTGCCCTTAAGAAGAGATTAAAAAAGAGCAGCATAACAACAGTTACAAGTAGTCTTTGTGTGGTAGCTACACACACACTGCCTCACCAGATACAACCGATGGGCATCTCCCCTCGCAGCTACACACAC